CTATTCCTAATAGTTTATAGATTTAAACAAAGTTAAAATCATAATCATTATGATAACTTAATATTTAAACAAAAATACAAATATATTGTAAGGCTCTTTAACAAATATTCAGTAGATACTTCAAATGTTTTAGAAAATTAGAAGATTTTTCCTAAAGCATAATGTGCCTTTCCAACTGTAATATTATTCTCAATGATATTATCTTTATATGTTTCTAAGGCTTCATAAATAATTAATTTAGATGATTCAAAATCTCTAAATTATAATTAGTATCAACTAATAAGTGCATAAACAATCCCTAACTACAATAAACAGCCAGCTTATTATACTTTCCAGTTGAGTCTTTCATATGATACCTCCTGAAATTTAAGAAGGATTCTATATAAATTTTCTAAACATAACATTAATTGTCCTTTTAAGTGCAGATCAGCTATTAAAATTTGATAAAATCATATTCTGTTTTGCAATTGCTGCCTTAATAAGTCTCTCTGATTATTAAACTTTAATCAAGTAGTAAAATGCTTAAACACAAATTAATAAAAGCTGCTTTTATTCAATTTTTGTTTAAGCCTCTTCTATCCTTCTTTTCGCTTTATTATAAGTTGTATGATCTTCAAATAGACTCTGAAATTGAACACTTACTTCTCGTACAATCAATAATGTATCTTCAGACTATTTTTGAGTGAAGATTCTTTCAAAATCAATTATATGTCCTCCTGAATTAAGTATTAATAAAGATAGATTAACACTTGAGTGATGCTATTTCTATTGGGCATTGGCCATGTGGGGAATGAAAATGGATAAATTATTGATGGTTTCAGAAGGATAAAAGGAATAAAATAATTATAAAGTTAGTGAATCGGTCGAAATTATAGTATAAATAATAGGATGCACTGCAAATATAGCTCTGATTCACAAGAAACATCTTTAATGACACTAATGAAGGATATTCTAGATCAGTTCTATGTAGAAAAGAATAAAATTTTTGATGTGAGTATTGATAGTAATAATCATTCAGACAATTATTAATAGAAAAAAAAGATTTATAAGAATAGTAATGTTTATCTAATGATAGCCAAGTTTATTGTTATTTAAATTATTTTTTATTTTATACTTATATAAGCAATTCAAATTCGTTAAGGACTTTAGGAGATTTGTAATATAAAAGTAATTAGTTATTGATATCTCATGAATAATTGATTATTATTAAATTGCCTGATATTAACAACAAAATTGGGTTGTAGTCTAATTATATGAGTAAAAAACATTAATTTTATATATTTTCTTTGTTTCAATAACTTTTATTAACCCTTATCACATTTTTTCTCTTACTCTCCTAATTTAATATTA